CATTATTATTAATTAAAAATGTTTGCAGCTGGGTAAAAACTACTTTCTCCAGGACTTTAGATAAGAAAGACAGTTTAGAGATGGGCCTGAAGTTAGAGAGAACAGAGGGGTCGAGATTTTCCTTTTTTAGCAGGGGCTGTACAACAGCGTGTTTGAAGGGGGACGGACATAACCAGAGACAAGACAGGTATTTATCAATGACAAAATACATGGTCCAACGGTACCAAAGACTTCTCTAATCAGATGAGAAGGAATACTGTCTGAGGGACAATTTGTGGGCCGCAGATGATGGACCACCTTAGATATGGAGCTGTCATAAGACAGCACAAGATCTAATGTGTGTCCCTTTTCATGTGTTGGGCCAGACACCGATTGAGTGAGATTAAAAGAGTTAAGAAGATTTAAGAAGTCTTTAACCACAGGTTTGCTTTCACAGCATACGTGTAAATTCACCACATTGTCCCCACAAATTATAAAATGGTCATAGTTTAACCTGATACCTGCTATAAAATCAGCAAACTCTTGCATAAAATCTTTGTTGAATTTCGGTGGACGATACACAACTGCATACTGCGTTGGAGAAGAGGTGTTTAATTCAAATAGCTGCAGCTCAAAGCTAGAATAGGTGACAGATGCAGACAGCGGACACTGGAAGGTGGATTTAAACACAGTGGGAAGTCCTCCACCTTTGCCAGTGGTCCGAGGAGAGCTAAAAAATTTACAGTTTGGAGGGAGAAGTTCAGAAAAGGAAGCAGACTCACCAACATGAAGCCAAGTCTCGGACAGCAGCATAAAGTCCAATTTATGGGATGTAAAAATGTCATTCAGCAAAAAAGTTTTGTTGGCCAGTGATCTGACATTAATCAGGGCCATACGAAGAGTTAAATCCCAACTGTCAGGTTTTGAGGCCCGCTGCAGTGTGCGCAGATTAGCCATATTCACACCACGTCGACAGTCCGGCCGAAGTTTCCTCACCCAGGGCGCCGTGTGTCAGGTCGGGAAAAAGGTGGAACAGCGTCGGACGAACAGCACCCGAACCAGTCGCTGTCACCAAGGCTGCAGATGCCTGACCCATCAAGAGATGCTGTGAAGCCAAGTCGTCAAGAAGGAAGCCCACAACAGGCAATGACACAACAGTAGTCGGGCTGGGGAAGACAGGTCGAATCCATCGCAGGCGCGGGACCTCCAAACACCGGCAGCCACAGACAGCGGGGTGACAGCAGCCCCCACCGCAGAGGAGATGAGGATGAGGCACATCCGAGGACTTCAGGTAAGCCTTGAGGCGAACAAGCACTCCGGCATGCTTTCCACGTCTCCTGTGGCGCTTTTTCTGGAGAAGATCACACGGGACACAGCGCAGGTAGTCCAGGATGTAGGACAACCATGGGGGGAGACCTCCAACCTGTTCTCCCAAACCATCTCTAGACAGCCCCAAAGCCTCACAGGATGCTCGGATGTCAAACAAAGTTTGTCGATCATAAACGAGAAGGCTAGTTACATCCCGGGAGCAGAAACACAGAAATAAAGCAGCAGCAAGCAAAAGGCAGACGCAGCATGATGCTGACAGACAGTTTGCCTTACACACTGGCGCCATCTGATTACGTTCACCAACCATAGCAGAGTCCTTTAACAAACACGTGCAGCTCACTTACTCTCACATTACTGTATCTTGTAATACAGTCTTTGTTATCTACCTCTCTCTGTAAGACAGTGCAGGTAATTGTTGCTGTACAGCGTGTCTGTTTAATTGAACTATGAGCCTGGTTAGAAAAATTTAACCAGGATGCTGATTCTATGCGCAGTTACGCAGACAGAGAGAGTTGATCAGTGGTCATATTATTGATTCTTATCACAGCAGAACAGGAGGATGTGGGTTCTACTGTCCAGCGATGCAGCAAGAAAGAGGCAAAGCTGCCCAATCCGGCGTCTAAGTGTTCTCAACCCCCCTCCCCTTTGTACGCACATACAGGTGGAACCAAGTGGTTGCTATGACAACAGGGCAAGTCACAGTAACAGCTGTGCCGCCTGATGTGCAGCAGGTTCTCAAATCTTCCCATTTTCAGTAACTACTATTTTTGTGGCTTTCACTGTGAGGCAAATCAATCGCCAGTGAACCAGCTACAACACAAATAAGTATTTCCAGCTGTGGTGATGACAAAACAATTTCACTTCTATTACATTTCTCAAAATACAACGCAACTGCTTATGCTTTGCCCTCCTGAAAGCTGTCACAGTGACTTTGAATGGCTTGGGAACATGCAGTGAAACACGCACACCCTGCTGTAGGCATTTATGTTAACCCAAGTACTCGACAATTTCTCATGGTTAAAGAAACATTAGCAAGCTAGTACACTATGGGCCTCATTTAATAAAGGTTTGCGTGAGTGTGCAAACTTGATATCACCAACAAATTAGCATGTAAGCTGATCTACTAATGGTGTGCACACAGAATGACGTCTTTCAAAACGTCAGATAGCACCTGTTGTTCATTTAGTACTTTTGCCTTAATGAATATGCAATTTAGGGCGTAACATGCAAATACATTTATTTCCTACACACACTGTGATCTACCAAGCCTAAATGCAATTTCATGTGAGTGCAACAGCCTCTGTATTTAATACGTTTGAAAGGAAGGTGCAAACCGCCAAGTGTTGCGCAGAGATTACTTCTGTTAATGTTGCCAGAAGGAGACACAGCCATAATGAAAGAAAATGTAGAGAAATTAACAATATTAGATAATATTATTCTATATCTAATATATAGAAATACAATTATTTTATTTTATTTATTCAATGAACTATATGAATAGAATTTAGTTGTATTTTCCTTTAGCTTTGGCAATAAGTAAGTAAGTAAGTAAAATTTATTTATATAGCACTTTTCACAGATAAAATCACAAGGTGCTTCACAATAAAACAACAAAATACAGTTCTAGCTAAATACCAGAAACACATTGACATATGACAGACAACTTTAAAACAAAGCTTAATGTTTAGCAAACGCCTGTTTGAATAACAGAGTCTTCAGCTGCTTCTTAAAAGAAACCACACAGTAACAGGTCGGAAATGTAAGAGGGAGTTTGACCATGTAACACAAGTAAGGACCAAGATTATAAAGTGAATTTTAAAATGAACTGGCTGCCAGTGAAGGGATGATAGGACTGGAGTAATGTGTGCTCTTCTGCTTGTATGTGTTAAGAGTCTAGCAGCTGAGTTCTGGACAGCTTGGGGGTGAGTGAGTGCTTTATTACTCATGCATGTAAAAAGACTATTACAATAATCTAAACGGGAGGATATGAAGGCATTGGATGATCATCTCTAATTCTATCTTTGACACCAGCAATCTTAGTTTGGATATGTTCCTTAGTTGGAAGAAGCAGTTTTTAATTTGTTGGTTGGAGTGATGCGCTATACTGTTGTTTTAACATTCATGCCAATAAAGTAAATTTCGTTTCGACCTGATTTCTTTCCTTTGTGAGATGGAAGAGTTTAGAAAGTTGCCTGGCGCTGCAGAGAGCCCCCATCTGCAGAGTGCACAGATCACGCGTAAAATTCATCCATCCAAAGGGAACGATCACCAACTGTTCACAGCGTGCTGGTCGTAATATAGCGACACAACCCATTGCAGGTATCCAAGAGGGTGTGTACAGGGCCAGGGACAGGAGATCGCGGAGCGACCGGGCAAGGTGTGGACGGTCGGTGATTGTTTCCTCTGGCTGGATGAAGCACGATCTGCTGGCATTTCCTCGCGCCTGGGTCATTCCAGCATACTGTAGCTGTTTCTGCTGGGGTTTTCTAAAGCAGTTTTTCCAGGTGTTCTGTCCCAAGTACTTAGTGCAATCTCAGGCAGGATGGGCAGGTACATACGATTTCCACATACTCGGGACACACTGAACGAAACAAACCAAGGTTTTTACACTGTGGCTGCTTTCCCTCCCAACTCTCCTTGGCGGAAACCATTAAAACACGCAAACCCCTCATTTAAATACTCCCACCTCCATTGTGTTTGCTCCTGTTGTCATCTCTGCACTAATTCTTAGTAAATCACCCATAACAGGTACTAAAATTGCACGTTCAATATTTTAGAATGCACACGCAATTTAGTACTATTTATTCGGGATGTTAGTAAATCAGGCCCTATATGCGTAAGCACACAAACTTGTGTTGTTAAGAAAGATGCTAAATGAAGCTTGTATCTGCAACAATAAAGATACCACAACTTTATATTCCTTTTGTTTAATTTTAAAAAGAGAGAAAAGTGTGTCGCACAGGCAAATGCTTAGACCTGTTAATCATCGTTATCTGATGTCGTGTTGCCACAGCAAGTTAGTTTTGGCTGGATTCACAGGCTGAGTGCAGGGATAGAGCAAGAGCAAAGTGGTACATAACACTGTCTTTTTTATGATGTAGTGGAGCTCGAGCACACCATTTTGACAGATGCATTATTTGAAAAATAGCACAATAAGGGTGTCACCAAAATACATCACTTCTGGGCTCTTTAAATCGTCCCACAACATCAACTAAATGACAAAACAAGACATAAATAAAGAGACAGCCGAACAGAGAGTTGGTTCTCTAAAAGACAGGTTGTAAATAGGTGTGTGTGTGTGTGTGTGTGTGTGAGAGAGAAACTGCCTTTGTTTCTTATCCACTTTTTGCAGGATTAGCACACCCCTGTCTCTTCCCTATTTTAGTGCCTGGCTCTGCTTCAAATCCACAAATCTCGTTTTTTATTGAAGGCAGTAAACCTGATGTGAACTGTGACCTCCAGAGGACATATGGGATGCTGCCACCATTCTTCCCTTTCCCATTCTGTAAAATAGTTTGGTTCTGTAAAGCAATCACATTAAACGTTAAGGAGGTACTGCAGCGATTTAGTGCTACGTTTACATAAAATTAGGGGGCTTTCAAGAGATAGATCTGGCCTAGGCTCAGTATGGATTTCTTACACACAATCAGTTAGATATGTGCTGTCTACATGTGTTATCTTTTTCTCTTCAGGAGAATCCGTATGTGATGCTGCGGCCAAACCACCAAGAACTGGAGGGAAATGACCGCTACGAAGGCTTCTGTGTGGACATGCTGAAGGAGCTGGCAGATATTCTCAAGTTCAAGTATCGCATCCGTCTGGTGGGGGACAGACTGTACGGGGTTCCTGGAGCCAATGGAACATGGACTGGCATGGTCGGGGAGCTCATCTCAAGGGTACGTTATATATACACATGCACACACTGAGGTGTAGCCTGCAAACAAGCCCTACAACCATAACGTATCAGATTCATCACATTATATACTGTGGATGTCATATACTCACATTCACAAACACAAAAGTGTATTGCTCCGCTCTCATACAGTTCACAGCTGTCATAAACTGTCATAAACTATTTTTTTTTTCATTCAGCAGTTGGCCTTTTCAGCTTAAGCATTGTATTTTCCAAAAACAGTCACGGCTTGTTGGTGGCTTGTTCCCTGTCAGCTCCTTTCCATAAGCCTTCTGAACTGACCTTAACAGACTTTTTCCTCCTGAATCAGTCTGTGTTGTTGCTGTTAAATCTCTAACTGAGGTCTTACACTCTTCCAGCCACGCTGTATGTAGCTGTTAACAGGCAGATATGGTTATATAAGGGTGCTGAGGGGAGAAGAGAAGGAGGAAAAGAAGTGAAACAGGCGTAAAAAAGGAGGAGGAAGGCTTGGGCAAGGAAGATAAAAAAGTGGAATGACGTAGAAAGGGATTGAGCTGATCCTAAGAGGTGATCTGTCTTAATTCTTTGGGCTAATGGAGGGCAAAGCCATTAAGTATGTAAAGCAAGGAGTGCCTGCTCTTGTTATTGTCACAGCCTGCCACCGCCCTCATCCCCTGTAAATTGCCCGTGGTGGGCTGACCTTCAGAACGGCCATGGCTGAAGTTAACATGTGTCTCTGACAGTAGCTTGCGCTTGTGGAGTGGCATCGTGGTGGGGGGGACGCACAAAAAGACAAGACGTGCTTGAGAGGGATTTGTCATGGAATTGGGGGGGTACCTCTGGAGGGATGTTCCACAGTGGACAGAAAGGCTTGGGCTTGTTTGGATAGGGGCTTAGGAAGGAATGATGAGTAAAAAGATTGTGAAAGAAAACATAGGAACAGCCACAGTTGCAAGTTTAATGGGTAAGTTGAAAGGATATGAAACATACACTTGGTAGCAGCCTGAGGTTATTCCAGACAACAGATACCTGGGTCCCTGCCTGTACTATTCAGACTAAGACTCAGTATTTCACTGTGTGAGGGTGATTAGTTTGACGGGTGTCAGACAGCATGAGCTAACGATGAGACATGCCAGGAGGAACCCAGACCAAACTACAGTATTTCCTGGATCCACAATCCACAAGTGCTGCAGTTAGAGAACACACATCATCTCCAAAGGCTACTCTTGAAGTCAAATGCTACATCTATATATTTAATTCATCCCTCACATTCAAGTTCAAGTGTTATTTTGTCCTCTTTTACCAGGTTAGCATGATATGATTGAATGGAAGTGGAAACAGGTGTGATGCAATATTGAACAGCTGACATTACAGTGTTTTAGTATTACAGTTATACTAGAAGGCATAACAGAAGGCAGGCAGAGGAATCCAGTAATCAATATTAATGTTCTATCATCACATAAATATTTCAGTGGCTGTTACGACGCACGCGGGTGTTCAGTAACTTTCTTTGTTTAAATTGCCTGGATGGTTGTTCTCTGCGTGTGGCTTCCTTCTGGCACCGGGAGCAGACTTTTAAATGAAGAGAGAGAGAGAGAGGAAAGACAAGGAGGAGGCTGGGCACAGCTGATGATGGAGGGTCAAAGCCTTGCGGGCTGAGGATAGGCTCGGATAGGGCAACAGCAGACATTAGGCTTCAGAGTGGAGTGTAGTCTGGGGCGAGATAAAAGAGGTGGAAATTTTAAATGTAAATCACTAATTGAAGCACAGAAGCAGAGTGGGATTGAGGCTTTTAGTTGAATCTCTCAATGTTTGGTAGCGTTTTACACTTGTTCTAAAGGTTAAAATAATTAAGTAAAAGAAAACATATCCATATTCACATCACGTCCAAATGGATGTTGTGGCGAAAAACGCTCTTTCATGGATGTCAGATGCCCCTTTCCCTGGCTATCTTTCCTAAGCATTGTGGCGTCTGCATTGCTGCAGCAGAGCTCCTTCCTCCTCACTCATCATCCCATTCCTCTCCCGTCTCCCCAATCCTCTTAGTTCTCTTGCAGCGGACAAAGATCAGTGCGTTGCTGCTTTCACTCTTTGCTCCTCAGGGAGATGAAAAATCCCTTGCAGTTGCACTTTGCTGGCCTGTATTATTAGTAGGGAGCCATCCAGTATTCAGCGTGCATTGACCATTTGTACGTGTGTGTGTGTTGCTAAGTGTGTGTTTTACCACCCTCTGCTTTGTCTAGTGATTTGTCATGACAGTGTTCCCGTGGCCGGCCACAATGGTTATCCTGAGCTCTCTTGTGCCCTATACACGCACACACACACACACTAACACAGCGTCAATGCTGGATTATCCTCACCACAGATAGTACTATTAGTGGACAAAGGGGCATTATTAGGGAATTACCATCTAGTAGCCCTCTTCTTATGTCGTCCTCGTCTCCTTTTCAAGCACTTCAATTATTGGTTGTGTCTTAAACATATTGAAGTAGCCTTTCTCTAATCAATGCATGTGCTGGTTTAGGAATAGTTGGCCATTTAACAGCCTCAAAGTTTTCGCCACTATAACCAAATAAACAAATGCATAAAACAATAACCAATACTGTAAATCATGCTACCCATGAATGAGGTAGAATGGTCACAAACATAATTCAAACAATAAACTGTCAAGAGGGTAACTTAGATTGTCAGTAACGCATGAGTGAGGCAGGACTGGAGACACCTGAATGCCAGGTGAGTGATCAGTCTTCACCTGAGTACATCTGGAGTCATTTACTCCAATTACGGGGGCCACAGAGGGAATTCACAACATACAGTGTATGTTAGGTCATCAAGGCGATATTCAGTATGCCTTTGGCTGTGTGTTTACATGATGTGATTGATTCTACTCGCCTTCTGCGTTTCAGAAAGCTGACCTGGCAGTCGCAGGCCTCACCATCACAGCAGAGCGTGAGAAGGTCATCGACTTCTCCAAGCCCTTCATGACCCTCGGCATCAGCATCATGTACCGTGTCCACCTGGTGAGTTACCTCCCAGCAGCCCCGCACACACACACCCAACACTAACCGATCGAACTGGCTCTCTTACAGCTTGCGGACATACCACAGCAGGCTGTCAGCTTTTTCTAATGGCTGGAAAAGAACCACTCTCCCTTTTGGCCTTTGGAGTCTATCTCTCTTAGTTTGTCTAAATCCTTCCACAAACTCTACTATTTTGCACCTTATAGCTACTTCTTTCCCCCTGCATCTGTGTGTTTTCAAGGCTATACCCTCCTCTTCCCTCTGTCCTCCTTTCCTCCAACCCTTAGTCTCGCTTTCTTGCTTCTTCTTTATCTTCTTAACATCCTTTCCTATCTGTCCCTGCAGTCCCAACTTTTTCATAGTGTCCAGTTTTCTTCACTTGTCCTGCGTTTCCCCATTTCCTCTGTCTGTTGCTGTGTCCCCCCCATCCTGCCAGCACCAGATGGCGTGTTTTGCTGTGTGAACTTCCTGATGATCGCAGCAGTTTCATAGTTGTTTTCTGCTTGCCCTCTGATTGGGTTTGGCCATCTTATTCACACAAGCATCACCATCCATGCTCCGCAGAGAGCAAGCCCAAGCAAGAAACAGTGAAGCAACAGCAGTGCAGGTGAAAATGGGCCAGTGTGTGCAGAGTCAGTGGCCCATTAATCATCAGACCCCCCAAAACCCAAGGTGAAGCAGCAGGGCCCAGTACGGCAGTGGCCACAGTCTCACTGAGGCGTTCTGGCACGTGCGCTAGTTAACATTAGTGTAGCATCCCAGAAGGGCGTTTACTCAACTTCAACTTTCAACATTCAACTTATTTGTCCCCGAAAGGCAACCGGAAATAGATAAAGGGGTGTGCGCTGAATGTTGCAGACTCAGGGGAAACAACAGCTGTCCCAGGTTAACCTTTTCCAATCAAAGACTAAATAGAGTGCTGAATTCTGGGACATCATACTCACATTCCCTCTTGCTCCCGTCTCCCCCTCTTGTAAACCTCCCTCCTTCTCACCTTGCCATAGTCAGCGCACAGCGCTAATAGGTGTAGCAGTAAGGGACTCAATTGAGCGGCAACAGTTAGGGAGAATCAATCGATGTTCACAGCAGGTGTGGCGTTAAATGGGCTGCTGAGTCGCGTATCACCTCTGAAGTAGGAGGCAGGCAGGCAGGTGGCATCATGAGGAGGTGATATGGAGCTGATGTCCCTCGGGGCTGGCACGCCGCGTTACAGAGTTGAATTAGCACAGACTTGACCCAGTTGACGCCAGATCCCTGGGGAAGAGGTCAATAAGAAAGTCGGTATTAAGATAAAGCACTGGCATTTCTGAAAAGATAACGAGAGTAAAGAGAATGGTACCAGATAAGATGGAAACTGAAGACAGGTGTCCTTTGTCTTTGTCTCTCTCTCTCTCCCACCATCATTTCCTCATGCCCTCTTTACTCCGCCACTGCCCCTTGGCATTTTCTCAGATTTGATTCAGGGCGGTCCCTCAGCATGGCTCTAAAATTCGATATTTGAATTTCTGTAACTGCACTTGTTTAGTTCTAATCCACTAACTATTGATCTGAGGCACAGTGATTTCTACAAGGGGGTTGCTGCTTATTTCAAACTTTAAATGAAAATTTCAGTCTGATCAATAAGAATGGCTAATGCAATAAAATAAAGGCACCTGTTGGGTATTAATTACCCTCAGCCATTTAATCTCCATCTCTCTCCTCTTTGTCAGAATGTATGTCTGTCTGTCTCTTACACACACTGTTTTCCTCATTTATTATGCATCTTTGTGTTTTTTGTTTTTTGTTTGTTATGTCTGTGACACTTATTCACATTCTGAGTCAATCGATATGGGCAATATTTTCTCTAACAACAATATAGTAAAAGACATACTACTGTTGGGAAAATGAATCCTATATATTAAAAAGCTATCTCGTACTGTTTCCCGAGCATCACCGCGTTTAAGCACAGACCAGGGGCAGCATTCATTTCCTGAATGAAACAGCAGAAAGAAACAAGACGCCTGGAGTGAAACTCCAATGGTTCCTCCACTCTAAAAACTGTCATAGTGAACTTTTCTGTGGAGCTTTCAGCACAGCAACAAATCACAACACTTAATTACCTATCACATGATTTTGTGTCAGTGTTTTACAATACACAAAATGACAGGGGATCTGGTTCTCCTTCTGTTAGATGATTTCCAAGACACCATATTGAAATAAAAAGTATAGGAAGAAGGACAGGGCAGCATGCAGCTTGTCTGCAGAAGACAAGCTCTACCTGTAGGTTCTCTAGCTGTCTTGCCTGACTATTTTGTGGTTGGTTGGAGATTTGTTGTTGGTCCGTATACAGCCATGAATTGCTGTATATGGGGGTCCTTTGAGACATGCATGTGGTTTGAGGCCAAATAAATACATTTGATTTGCTTTCACACACAAATCAAAGAGCACACCTTTCACCGCAGCAGCCAGTAAAATGTGTGAATTTAACATCAGGGTTATGAACCCAGACATAACCTAGAGCTACTGTCAGCCTCTTCTCATAAAAACCATCACTCCCATTACATTCATCATCTGTGCTGTAACCCCAGGATCCCACACTCTGTGGTCCTTCATATCTGTGCCACTTCCATCATTTAAACATTTCCTGTGTGTGTGTTTCTGTGTCCGTGTCCGTGTCCGTGTCTGTGTGTGTGTGTGTGTGTGTGTGTGTGTGTGTGTGTGTGTAAGAGCGATGCTTAATTAGACATAGGAGTTAATTAGGGCTGTGTGGAAGCCGTGTCAGAGTCAGCAGCTGCCCTGAGGGCAGAGCTCAGCATACAGAGCTTTATTGACTCTCTGGCCACACACAACCTCAGACAAAATTACACCGTCACAAACACATGTAGCCCTGTACACACAGATAGACAGGCTCACATAGTTTCACATACCTGCATACACACATAACAGTACAAAGACATGCACTGTCACACCCGTGTACAAAACAAACATAGGGTGAGTCCAAGAGGCAGCATGATGTTGTTGTGTATACGACCCTGTGACCTCTCTGCCAAATCAACTGCTCTCCACAGATTGCCCCTGCAGCTATCTCAACCACCATAACTGCTGACAGCGTCTGCTCTGACACAATTAGAAATGCACACACTATCAAAGAGCCCAGAAAGAAGACAGTAGGTGGGGGAGTGAGAAAGGAAGAAAGTCTATATAAAAGAGTATGAGCATGGGTAGAAAGAGAAGTGGAAGGGTTGGAGAGAAGACGTAGAAATGAGACCAGAGAAGTGAGCAGGAGAGAGTACGGTTTGAAATGACAATGGGAAGTCTCCTTCAGTGAGTCAGTATTCAGGCAGGCAGTCTCAGGGGGCAACACTGTGGTATGAATACCAAGAGGCACAATGACTAGGTGAAATCCTTGAGTGGATAACCTCACCAGCTCCTTCAGCCACCCTGGCATGCAGGTAATCCTGGGGGGGAGGTGAAGGAAGAACAATGGGAAGTTGAGAGAGAACAAGGGCAGTGCAAGGTAAAATGAATGAGCTCTTCATCTGCGGGACACACACATACTCTAATAGGCAATTCCTCGCTATTCTATTTGTTGAGATGTACTCATAAAAATGGGTCTTAAAGGATGTTTCGCCCTCTGTACCTCGTCTGCATTCTCTTCCGTCCTTTGATTTGCCTTATGCCCTCTTATCATCTTAACGCAATAATAAACTTCTATAAAATGATTCCCCTGCCTGTAATAAAAATAATTTAAACACGGCAGCAAGGGTTTATGTCTGAAGAGCTAAGGCAACCTGTGGCTATAATGTATACTTATATATTCACATGGTTTGGTGCTTGTTCTAATGAAATCAGTTCATTGTGGCAGCTTTACTTTTATTATCTAACTCATGCACCAAGGTACCTTAACTACTACTAATTTGTGTGGTCATTCTGTCAAAGTTCTGGAGTCGTCGGTCTCCTCCAAGTGTATATCTCCCATTATACAGTAACTACCAGATTAGCCATGGCTGCTGGGTTTTCCCCAGCTGGATGTCAACTACCTGCTTCCTATGTGTTCAGCACCAGTGCTCCCTGTGCACTGGGTTGCCCAAGCACATACTGTATCTGCCCGGCTGCAGATAACTGACAGCATAGACAGCTGCTGATAAGCTTTAAAACACAAGCACACATACAGTCTGTCTCGCGCACACAGACTCACTTTCCAAAATGAAGAGAGAGCAGACCACTTATATGAGCTCACTGTTTAAAGCAATAATCCTGGGCCATTTGGAGGGACGGGAGCTACTTGTTGTTTTTTTAACTGTGCTCTCAAGTTAAATTATCACTGATAATTTATAAATTCCTTAATACATTCAATATGTGCATACATAAGTTATTCATAACTGTGCAAACGTCAGTGACACTGAAACCTCAATTGCAGAGATGAATCAGAGATAAGTCCCTGTGAAGGACAGATGCACTGTTCCGTAATTTCCTAACATCAAAGGAAACAGGAGTCAGCCAGCCTGTCCTATGGGCCACCTCCACGATTTCAGTAGTGAACATTGTACTGTGAACTCAGAAAGCTGTGCCAAAGCAAAGGTAAACATGAAGTTAAGTTAAACCTGCATTAACAGCCCAGTAAGCTGTAGACACAACATTGGTTCATTATTACCTTTATAAACTAATTATGGTTTATAAACAACAACAAAAGGTTGCAGTATTTACACATTAAGCAGACAAGGAGAAACATTAGTATTCATTTGGAACCTGATAATTGTAAGTCCAGTCTTCACACTCCTCTTAGCTCTATTTTGATCTTCCCAACTCCGGAGGGGAATATCTGTTTATTTTTATCTGTTAAATGCTCCACTATGTTCACCAGCTAGTCACTAATAGAGCCCAACCCATATGGGATATTTGGTGGATTTGCTGTGTTCAGAACATGTGTGTTGCCAACAGGGGAGTTGTGGAGTGCCCACTGGTGGACAAATTATGAAATGGCAACACTCATAACATGATTGAAGGCTTTGTCTGTTTGCTGTTTGGTGCTGGTTTAGGGCAGGTAGTGTACAGTAGGTTTATGAAGTGAAGTGGAGAAAAGCAACGTTACTGCATTAAAATCAAACCACTGACCTGAAAGGCACTAAAAGACCTAAATATCCTGAACGCCTCTTAGAAACATACACACAGAATTTTAACACATTTTAGCCTACCTGAATCTCTGTGTGCTCATTAGTGCGTCTCTTGCAGCCTCACCATGGATAATTTCCCCTCCAACTCCTGAAAACATACAACTTTTGTCTCTGAGTCTTAAAGCACACATAATACAGCACCAGAGTCAAGACTTCTCAGCAGCGTGCAACTCCTACCTTTTTCCTGTTGTCTTTGTGATCTCTGTCTCTTCCTACCTTTCTCTCTGTCTCTATTTCTGAGCTACTCTTCTGTACCTTCACTTCTCCACCATCTGTTAGCATGGGGGTCCCAGGTCTCTGCAGCTCTGCTCTCTTCATCTTAATAATAGCACCTTGGTGGGAGCTTAAGATGTGGACAAGCAGGGCAAACAATTAACAAAACGCTGGTTCAGCATGCAACAGGAGGACGCATGTCAGCATATACTGCTGACATATAATGCCAGTGCCAACTAAAGGCAGCTTGGCAGTGATGCTCACTTTACAGTAGTATCTCCGGACCTCAGAGATGGCCAGTGTGTGTTTCACCACTTCATTGTTCTATTTTCAGACGGCTATCATCATCATCATGAGCATTACACTCTACAGATAGAAAGGCAGACATTAAGAATGGCAGACTGATTTGAATCATGCAAAAAATTACACTGAATCTTGCTCTTGTCTCCTGCTTTCTGCACCACTCCTATTTTATTCAGTCAGGCTAATATGCAAGTGATTACAGACGTGTGTTAATGAGTTTTCATCTCTGCGCAAGTCTAAATGGGGATTCGTTTATCATAACAAATGCCCACCAAAATAATTTTACCCTCTTGCTGCAAATTTAATTTTGGACGGCCTCAAAAATGTATTACTGCAGTGTTACGGCCTGCATGATGTCCCCTAGGACGATCTAATTGAGTATTTTTGTATGAAAGTGTGGGCTTGTTCAGGTGGGCTCCAGCCTGCCGCCTGTTGACACAGAAATGGGAGATATGGAATTTTTACATGATGAATTGCTTCCCTCTCATAACAACACTTGCACAGTTGGTTGTTTGATCACCTCCACTATTTAATTGTCTTGCTGGCCCTGACAGCCCCCTCCATTTCATACTCATTAACGGATGGTGAACGTGCATCTTCATGTAAATAGCTAATATTTGCTTGCTGATGTTCGGTCAGCCAGGCTATACTGAACATGCACATAAGAAAAATGAGCACACACACACAAACACATAAATAAGCTCAGACAATGACTCTGATACTTGACCCTGGTTCCCCGGTAATTGGTTTCATTTAAAGGACAATAGCTGTTGGTGCTGGATAACGAAACATTAGGAATTAGCCCTTATATTCCCATTGGTATACAAGCTGCCATCGCAATTTCAGCCACTTTATCTCCTACACCACTGGTTACCAATCCAAACTGATACATAACAGTCCATTGCTGCTTCAGCACAGCTAGCCTTTCTGCCAAAGCCAAAGCTATTAATCTCTTTTCCTTTCCTTCCATAATGTACGCTCCCAGTCATACAGAAAGTCAACTATAGGTCACAGAAATGAATTTCTATTTAATATAGCTGTAATGGTTTAGTTGATTATTTGATCTTTCTCTCTCTACTACATGCAACCTTGTGGACAGCAAAAATTGTTACTGTTGTCTTTGTCTCTGGTCATAATTATGACCTCTAATTGTTCTTTATGATTGGACCTAATACTATATCAAATATCATTTCATCTAAAATCAAACTATATACCAATTAAGAGGACATAGTGTGGAAATAGTTAGTTTATTTTTTCAGTGCCAGAACCCGGGAAATAAAACCTCTTATCTGTGATGTTGTATCAATATACAGCCCTGTGCCACTCTGTTGACAATTCATGGGAGACTGAGTTTGTGCTTTCATACAATGTTGATCTGAATGTTTACATGCAAATGAGATTCATATAATTATAGTGCTATCAGTTTAGGACAGGGAAATCTATGCTTATCACATCAAAATCCCTTTATTTACTGTCCCAGTCACCTTTTTCATCTTTTCCAAATTACACAGGCGGCACTAAATATTGTTTAACAGGGACCAAATTGGGCCTGGGGTAAAAGAATCAACACTGAAATTCAGCAACATTTCTTTTTAATTAATCTTGCTATTCACTGTATAAAAGTGATATTAGAGACTTAGATGGGTTTTTTTTCCACATGCTAATTGGTTGATCTACACCTTTACAAGAAAGTATTTAATTTCTCACCTCCACGTTGGGCAGGCTTGTGTGATTTGAACATGGGATCACAGTGTTAAACGGTCTGTGAAGGCTTTAATGATTGTAACCCTGTAGTGTGTGTGTGTGTGTGTGTGTGTGTGTGTGTGTGTGTGTGTGTTTCAGGGACGTAGGCCCGGCTATTTTTCCTTCCTGGATCCCTTCTCCCCTGGAGTCTGGCTCTTCATGCTTCTGGCCTACTTGGCTGTCAGCTGCGTCCTCTTTCTGGTGGCCAGGTAAAGAGCTCACCAGTAAAATACACTCTGTACAGATGAGAGAGAACAATGAGAGACAAAAGAGGGGTAACAGTACAGAGACTAAAAACACAAACAGATTTGTATGGGGGTTATACGGAGGAGGAAACAGGTGTCTCAGGTTTCTGTTTCTCAGTTTCTCCTCAGTCTCTCCAGTTGATCTTCCTCAGCACGGTGAAATAGATGTTCTCTTCCCAGTGATGGGTCTCTAGCGTCAGACTGACACCTGCTGGTCAGGGAGGGTACTGGCACAACTGCCACTGCAAGTTGTTATTGCTATACAATGGAAACCTTATTAAATGACATTGTATCTTATGAAGAAACTTTAGCAAAAATGCAAATGTTATTTTTCATCTAACCTGATCTAAAAGCAAATGATCAGTCCCTGGCCAGGCAAATGTATAACTCTGACAAAGTTTTCAAAATTGTCTTTCCTATCTAGACTGGCCACAAAGAATCCAATGTGACAGGACAAAAAAGTTCAGCTAGAGAAGCTAATATATAATATAATAGAATAGAATAGGTTTCAATCAAATCATATGTGTGTACCTGCCAGAGTTATAGTCTGTATAGAATGTAATTCTTTCTTTGTGTTGTTATTCCTCTACCACAGCTCAGCAAGTAAACACACTCCGGGGAAACTTAGCATCTGAAACTTTGAAACATACCCACTTGATTTAGGAATGGATGTTTTTCACAGCCAGTGTTTTATAAAAATTGACGTTGTTCATTTACGACCTTTACATGCTGTCTTAATTTCTTTTGTAAATTTTTTGTTAATTTCAGCAGATCAGGAGGAAAGTACGCCGTAGTTTTAACACTATTGCAATTTAGCATGTAACAGAGTTGTCACACAACTTTGGCTTCATGCAGCACCATTGGGACATACCAATTACATTCCCTTCACCCCCGCTGCTTAAGTAGGCAGCACGTGGGGAATGAAAAGCAGGTTGGTTCGCTCTCCAGAGAGCCAAGGTGACTTTGTACTCAGTTGACTGTTAGAGTTGTTTTGCTCCTTGTCTATCTCCCTTTCTTTCTCCATTTCGCTCGCTCCCTGCCTCTTGAGATTTTCTCTTGTCAGAATACTTAATCCAACTTCCCATCCCCGCTCTTGGCTGTATTCCTCCTCAGACTCTCTCTGTTGCCTAACCCCATTGTCTTGTTCCCCGCCAGATTGACGCCTTATGAGTGGTACAACCCCCACCCGTGTCTAAAAGGTCGCTGTAACCTGCTGATCAACCAGTACTCACTTGGCAACAGTTTCTGGTTCCCTGTTGGAGGCTTCATGCAGCAAGGATCCACCATTGCTCCCAGAGCTCTGTCCACACGTTGTGTCAGTGGAGTGTGGTCAGTATTGGCTACAGAGACACACAAACATTTTTGTGCAAATTGCTCCATCATGGAATACATCTCTATATATCTTTCATGTGATCTTGAAACTTCATTCCACATTACCAGGACATCAGGTTTTAAGATGAAATAGTGATGGCAGTTGTGCATGCGCATATGTGTGTATGTCTGCCTTTGCAGCTCAAGCATCACTTCCTTTCATCCAAAACGAGCATTGCCACCTTTATTTATACACACCCACCCATTTATCCATCCACCCCGTCATCCACTGAAAATCCTGCAGTGTCTCCTCCTCTCAGGTGCGCAGGTATTTTGTCCTCCTTCACTCTCACCCAGACAATCTATCTTCATACTCCAGTGTCTCCATTTACATATTTTTATATGTGAATACATATGTCCTTGTCCTCTGCCTTTACTCCACAGGTGGGCCTTCACATTAATCATCATCTCATCCTACACCGCCAACCTGGCTGCTTTCCTTACGGTCCAGAGGATGGAGGTGCCCATAGAGTCAGTAGACGACCTGGCAGATCAGACGGCAATAGAGTATGGCACCATGCATGGAGGATCCACAATGACCTTCTTTCAGGTCAGAGGATGTACACAGCATTGCATACAATAGTTTACACTCTTAAATTACAGCCACACACCCAAGCATATACGCTCAGACTCACCTAAGAGCCTGCAGTGATCAATGGGCCATCAGTGATGTTATCCTCCCTGTCCTCCTGTCTTCCTCCTCTAACCACAGGTTTTATCCGTTTCTTGTCTGGTCCTCACTACAACCATTCAATATCGTTCTCCTCAGGGAGATGGGGCACTGTCCAGGGCCCTAAGAGAGGCCCACACTATCCTATTTCATCCTCTCCAGATCTGACCTCAGAGAGAGAGAAAAAGAGGGAAGAGGGAGAGAGAGTGTGAGAAACGGGGGGTGTATTACAGGGGGAGAGACAGTGAAGGATGATATGGTGGGAAGGAAAGAGAGACATTAGCCTTGTCTTTCTTTGGGCTTTTCACGTCCAGTGGACCTTAAATAACTCAGGGAGGACAGGCCAAGAGAAAGTAGAGGACAGGTGGGCATGTTAAACTCTGAAGCTGCTCAAGTGGAAACAGATATGCTAAAGAAAAAGGATTCACATTTAACTGCAGCACACCTTTTGGAGAGTCAGAGAGTTTGAATAAATCCATCAGTCAAGAAAATGAAAAAGAAAAACAAATGAAAACCAATCTCCACCTTTGTGAACTGATAAAATATGTACCTGCGACGATAGACTTTTGTTTACTGTGTCCCACATCTGACTGTGACTTTTTCTCCTGATTGCGTCTTGCCGCCGTGCAGAACTCTCGCTACCAGACCTACCAGCGGATGTGGAACTTCATGTACTCAAAACAGCCCAGCGTGTTTGTGAAGAGCACGGAGGAGGGCATCGCCCGTGTCCTCAACTCCAACTATGCCTACTTGCTAGAGAGCACCATGAACGAGTACTACCGCCAGAGGAACTGCAACTTGACTCAGATTGGAGGACTGCTGGACACCAAGGGCTACGGCATCGGCATGCCACTGGGTGAGTGGGGAATGATGGGGTGGAAATTTAGAGGGGGGGAAGAAGAACTAAAAGTAAGGGGAAAGATAAAAGAAGAAAATAAAGAAACAGTTAAATCACACAGGAGGGACACCTGATGGATATCAATGGCTAATAGGGGAAAGGAAGTTCAGTGTAAAATGAAGGCAGCACGCTTTTGCTTAAATACACTGTATAATTCATATAGTAGTGAAGAAGGGGGAATGTTAGTTGGAGGATACGCCATAAACGTCACATTGTAGAGTGTAATTGAAAGTAAAGCCCAGAAAAGCCAAACCATTAGCTGCTATCATGGGGGAGAATGATGCAAAAGGTGGAAACTGAAAGAGACTTTCTTCTTGACTTTAATAAAGTGGCTGTTTCCACGCTGTGATGGGAGAAGAGAGGACGAGAGAAAAGGAAATATGAAAAATTGTTCCTTTTGAATGTGGAACTGTTGCCCTACGACTCGCTTGCTGCTCTGAGAGTTTAAGCACAGGGTTTGCTTACTTTTTGAACTGTAGACAGGTTTCAAACTGCAGACAGGATGGAAAACATACCTTAAAGTAAACATTTCAATTCCTTTGATCTTTAAAGGATATGAAAAAGTTTTTTAATGGTGTGGCATACTTGCCACTGCAAATCAGAAGACAAAGTCATGAGAATATCGTTCGATTTAACAGAATGAGCGTGTTTGCACTGGAAACAAGTAGGTCTGAAGGTACAGTTTTAAGTTGGGGCTACTTTGTAAGGAGACATTTTGGATTATGCAGTTGTGAACTTTGCCTCTCTTCCCTGCAGGGTCAGTGTACCGTGATGAGTTTGACCTGGCCATCCTCAAAATGCAGGAGGACAATCGTTTGGAGATCCTCAAAAGGAAGTGGTGGGATGGTGGCAAGTGTCCAAAGGAGGAGGACCACCGTGCTAAAGGTCTGTCTCCAGTTAATCCTCATCTGCTTGTTCTTTAGCTTCAATTTGGCTTGTCAGATCATTTGTTTGTAACAATTTGTTTTGCCTCCTTTTATTTCTTCTACAAATCCCTCTGCCTTCTCCCACCATATCCTGTGGTCTCCAGGTCTGGGCATGGAGAACATCGGTGGTATCTTCGTGGTGTTGGTGTGTGGGCTGCTGGTGGCTATCTTCATGGCAGTACTGGAGTTTGTCTGGATGTTAAGGCAGACCCCAGGAAATGAGGTGAGAGAGGGCTATCTAACCTGCATCTGCTTTGTCTCCCTCTCCCCTCCCTGGTACCCTCCCCCTCACGGAGCTGCTAGGCTTTCCAGCTTCCAGCTTTGACAGGAAATGTAGCAGGCGTCTCCTTCCTCTGGGTTTCACATGACACTCAGCTTCCCTCTGTCCAGCCAGTGGGACAAGCAGCACAAAACCAAAGATATACCTCAGTTATACCTCACTCAGAGACATGCATATATGGATCATTTTCTATTTATAACAGTAGAAGATTCATACATATATATATATATATATATATATATATATATATATAGTACATAAAATATCATAAATAATATAGAATATGGAATGTAGTAACATTGTATTGGTGATTAATACATGCTTACAAGGTGCTGCCAATGAGAGTTTACTCATAAAAATAAATGTGGTTGTTTTATCTTAGCCTTAACACTGACCAGCTTTTTACTCAAAAGATGCCTGGCATTGTGTGCACATCTTCACTCAGAATCCAATTGTCCAGAGACCAGAACTAATTCATTCCATTTGGTGAATGATGGACAATAATAGACCAGTTGTGGCCATCAATCAGAGCTTTGTATTAATAACACAGATGAGGGAAATATAAGGGAGGATCGGTTTTTAAATGAAAGATTTCTACTTTACATAGAGAAAAAAAAGCAACTGTAAGTATGTTTCATTGTGAAAAGTTTAAAGTGGTTTACACAGATAGTGTGTGATTATTATAATCCTAAAATTTGTATAAATGATCATTCAAAATTATATATATAATCATATAAATTTCAATGTGGCATCATCTAGAGTAAGGACTAAACACCAATATCAGGAGTGTGTCCAAGCTTGTGACAAAACAAAAAAAGGCCAGTTTAAATTTCCAGGGAAAAAAAACTATTTGGGAAGGAGCTCTGCTGCACTATTCTTGAGGTGGGAACGCCGTTAACAAAAAAATATGGTCGAGCAATACGTCAGAGAAAGATGTGCATGCAGTGATATAATTATTTCTTATGTGATTCCTTAAGAGATACTTGATAATTGTCTTTTCACACTGTGATTTTAATTCAATAAACATTCAGAATGTGAAAGTCAAAAACCAACTCATGTGATTTCTTCTTTTTGAGCAGCATAGATCGATGTTTCACTCTAACTTGTAAACCCTGTGTGTTTGTTTGTTTGTTTGTTTGTGTGTGTTTTGTGTGTGTGTGTGTGTGTGGGTGGGTGGGTGGGTTTATACCTGTGTGCATCTATGTAGTTGTTACTGTGATCATGTGCAGCATGTGTGGATGGATAATTAGCATCTCCTGTCTTGCACTTAGACTGCAGTATCATGTCTGTCATTGTAATTATTTGAGTTTACATACTGTAGATAACCAGTGGATCAGTCGATCGTCAGTCCAGGAGCTCAAATGTGTGTGTTATGTGTCTGTATGTGTCTGAAAAGTAAGTTTAAAATTACATATGCACTATATGTGTTGTAGCCATCTATACATTTATTATAAAGATCTGTGTTATGTGTCTGTGATGTCCATCAGTCTGTCCTGATCAAGTCAGTCAGTCAGTGAGTTGTCTGGCCTTTCTCCCTTTCTCTCCCTCTCTTATCCCCCTCTCCCCTATCTTTTTCTCCCTGTGTGTGTGCTTGCAGCAGTCAGTGTGTGAGGAGATGCTGCGGGAGCTCCAGGGGATCGTCCTGTGTCGCGACAGCCTGCAGGTGAGGCGCCGGCGGGCGGCTTCAATAATGCGACCGCGGCCCTTACCCCTAGAGGAGCGTCGGGCGCGAGCCGCCGCTGTCAGCCTCAGCAATGGTAAGCTGTGCGGGGGCACCGGACTGCCTGAACCCCTGTCCCACAGACTGGCACAGGAGGCTGCTCTGGTTGCGAGAGGGTGCAGCCACATCCGCATTTGCCCCGAGTGCCGGCGCTTCCAGGGACTGAGGATGCGTCCTACAGGGGCCACTGGGGCCCTTCCTTCTCCCACACACAGTGAGGAGAGCATAGACTGGGACAAGACCACAAATAGCAGTGAACCTGAATAACCCCCAGCGATTCCAACAGAACTGACTTTCCCAGCCACCTCGCTACCTTCCAGGAATCAAAGATCACATGGTATTTTGAGTCAGCCATTCGGAGCTTGATCCTAAAGGGCAGGATAATACTGTGAACGTTTTGCCCTAGAGGCAACAGCCAGTAGTGAGTTTTGGAATCTGTTTGGGTGAATTTTTCCTTGGTCATAGGAGAAACTGATGAGTCTGTCTCATTGTGGTCTGTCCCTGTTGGCCCTTTGTACCGTGTAAAACAGGCTGGACAAAGACAGCTACGGGGCATTTGTACTATGCAGTATTTTCAGTCATTTATCTTTGTGCTGTTTCTTTTTTTTTCCTTTTTAAATTATTTCTGTCCTCTGTTGGATTATCAGTACTGAATATTGTTATTCTATTCTTATTCTAAAAAAAAAAATTTCAAACAAGTTCCTTTTTTTATCTGACAATTTACTGTATGAACGTATATTGCCTCTGAAGCGCTGCGAAGATGAACAGACTAAATGCAAGGTCATCCTTCAAATCCTTTTATTTTGAAAGTGCCAAAAACCATAAGTATTATCTTGTGGCTGAAGAAAGCACCACAGCCTTGAGAAGACAACAGACTCAACTGAACCTAGAAAACAAACAAGCAAAGACACACAAACTTCTTTTATAGTAGTGATATTCTATTAAAAATGTTTTAAATGTTGGTATCTCTGAAAGACAGCGATGCATGTCCAAAGGTGTTGGCAAATGCTCAATGAATGATTAATTGCTAAAAGTGGTGGCTGAGCAGCTGAAAGATTTCCTGTTTTGATTACCTGCTTAAAAACATGATGGCTACACACAAACATGCACATACACAAAGACATCCATTTATTTCCTTCTCTTGTGTGTTGACATGACTTTCTCCTCTGTCATCTGTCCTACATCTCTGACACTGTGATACATTTATTGTCTCATCACCTGTCCTCTTTATGATCTCTCACTTAAAAAGATATACACCGTCTCCTGCATATTATACATTCTCTGTAAGAGATTAAAACGTCCTTTTCTCACATATCCGAGAATGATTCAGGTTTCATGAGGACAAAACAAGTGTAAGAACGTAACTGAGCACACATCAGAACCAACCAAAAACATGCATTAAAAAGGTTTTTATATCAGCAGCTGACTTGAGTTCTTTTAAATGTCAAGGCAGTTAAAGTTTCATTGAATGTGATGTTTTACACGCTGCTTTTGATAAGTCTTTCAGTTCAGATCAGCCCAGACGCTCTCTCTGGCATTTTCATGCTTTTATTTTTGCAAAAAGCCACAACAAACTTCTTATTTGTTTTAATGCAAACTGATAAAGAACGTAATTGAAAGATGATTCTGTCAACTGTTTTTGAAGCTGTAAAAATTAAGTTGATTGAAGTCAAATCGAAATGATTCAATCTTTCAAATTTCCAATCACTTTTTGAAATGTACCAGTTCAGTTTTAGTTGCCTTTATTTGAATTAACAGTGAGAACAAACCCCCAGCAGCAGGAATCTGCATGGACTGTGACTTTCCCCACTGAACGGACTGTTTTGAAGGTGTTACTGTATCATAGCCTGACTGTTGCACATTGGGAATCAGCGGTCATCCACCTGTCTTCACTGCTTCTTGCTTATCTCTGATGTGTCCATCATTTTAAATCTGCCCATCAGGTTCTGTCAATCACCATCCCTCAAAACTAGGCCACCAAGTCAACACAGCTTGAAGGTACCACAGTACTATCTCTCTTGTACTTTTATTAACCACGTTCACTTTTTATCTTTGTCATCTCTTACCTGCAGGCTGACATGGTTAGAAACAGTCTGTATGTGCTCTTTTAAATTCACAACCTGGAAAAGGTCTGAATGTTATATTGAGGTGTACGATCTATTGATCACTCACCATGTTTGTTTTTTGGCTCTATTGTCAATAGTTAACACCTCATTTTTCACGTCCCAAAATCAAAATAGATCACAGCACCTACACACAAATCAAACCTCCATTTCCGTGTAAAAAATTAACGATCACAGTTTTGCCTCTCAACAGTTACCATTTCTCTCAATGTGGACATTGTGCTACCGGGGGAGCAGTTTACTTAAAATAACAAACTTTGCAAAGTCACACAACTAGCATCATGCATTCTGTGAGCTCATTCGCTATGTTTAAATGTGTTTACGCTGATGTAGAATCGTGATAAGAACATATAGTGTTTATAGCAGACACGTACGTGATCATACTCACTTTGTTGTTGAATCTTTCTGTTACTTGTTTTACCATTGCATCTGCACAGTAACATCTCCCTGATATCAGATCATCCAATCTGCCTCTATATTTTTTTCAATAACTTGTTATTGCATTAATGGGCACAATTGGTATGCCGTTTCAGAAGCTGGTGAACATGTGACAACCGCTAACAGACCTGGAGTGAACTGCGGTATTAGCACGATTGTACTAACACACAGAGTTTTTTGTGAATTGATGGTTCTGACCATGCGGGTGACTAGAATCACAAATGAGTGGAATTTTTATTTGAGGGTGCTTTTTTCCACATTTTTTCAAAGACAGTTCAATTTGTTGCTGAAAAGTGTTTCAGTACTTCAGATAGCATTTCGACTCAGGTCAGCAGCGTGTCTGAGCTCCCACAAGAATACATCAGTGTTTGAAATTGCTGGATTCGGCCCTCCATAGAAATGAATTGGAATTGCAGAGGCATTTTATTATCTCCTAAAGCACCAATAGTGCCAATGTACCTAATCCTCAAGTAGTAAAGTATTACTGTGCCACAGACAAGTGTAAATACAGTATGATCATCAGGGTTCCCCAGTAATGGCCCAAAGTGTTGTAACAGTCATTTGAAGCTGGTTATGTTGATAGAACAGTGTGCCATTTAGACACACATAGATCTGGACAGTACAGAGATGGTGAGGCTAATGGTAAAAAAAAAAAAACTCTTCAGACAGTTAATGTTAACTTTCTATATTTCTTTATATAATAACTTGTTAAAGGCAAATTGCCCAGCAAATAGCAAAGGGGAAAAAAATAACCATATTTCATTTACCAGTTTTATAAAAGAAATTTCTATCCATTTGCTGAATGTCACTAAGAAACTCATGAGAGGAAAAAGGCTCTGGCTGCACAAGATGCTAACTTCTTAAGCACTAAAAACATTTACAGGGGTGCTAAATCAAGCGTAGTCGGAATGAGATTGCCAATTACCTTGAAGCCATGAGGAGCAGTGCCGTAAGAATTAAAACAAATCCCACTGAAACACTGGGCGACCTTCGCTGGGAGACCTCTGAGAGCGATGGCAGAGTTTGGCTGCTATATTTTATATGCTTTATTTTCTTATGTTGACATTTTTATTCCATTATAAATACATTTCTTAAAACAACCTCCATTCTGTGGGGTTCTGGTTTTGTCTCTTCTTTGCTCTGATGTATTTGACCTTCTGAGCCGTTTAGATTCATCATGGTAAATAGCGTCTGAGTGCACTTTTGTTTTTTTCAAGTTTTAAATATTCATTTCAGAATATTGCAGAGAGGCAGTATGGAGATGTACAGATTTCTAGCTGAGTAAACATGACGATTGTTGAGTGAACCACAAGGAACTGATGCATCTACCTCTCGTTTCTCGCCCATAACTGCATTAACGTCTGCACACTTGTGAATCAGTGGAACAGCTGAGAATTTGTGTGGGTGGGAAGTCTTAACGGAGGCTAATGAGTTTAACAACTCACTCACGTGCTATATACACGCATCCACTCACCCGTAGTCCATCTATCACTGTGATTTTCAGTGGATTTCTCTCTCCTCAGGATAGTGAGTGAACGCTACACAACACCCTGCATCTGATTTACGTTTTAATTCTCTCTCCTCCTGCTCTCTGAGTGCCTGTCTCACAATCTTGCCACTGGAGCGTTAGAGATGACGAGTTTTTTCAGTACGTCACCAAAGCTGTGTGTCACACACACACACACACACACACCCACATAACTCTTACAAGAGTGACGCACACACATAAACACTCGCCGCCACCTGTATGTCACTGCTGTGTGAAGTTTTATTTCACCGTGCTCATGCTACTCCTTCTGCCTCTGGTGTTCCAGGTCCATAAATTCAGCGCGTCTCTACCCACCACTGCCTAGCTGCTGTTGGATTTATGGAACCCATGATGAGCAATGAGTGCCTGCAGAGGTGTGTGGAAATCTACTTCCCTCCTCGAGCTTACCCAGTTGTAGCACATAGCAATACCAATTTCCCTGTAGTTGATTGTTATTCTGCAAGGATTTAGGAGTTATAGGAATAGCGAAGTGAGTCTGATGCATTTTGCCTCGCTAACAGCTCACATCTCATACAGTTGAAGAGTGACTTTCTTATCAGCCCATTCCATGTAAATAAACGTTGGGGCTTTTTTTTTTTGGCATTTTGCTCACATAAAATTCATGTTTGCTAAGTCTCACAAGCTCTGTGTCCAGAAACCAAAACATGAAACCTGAGATATATAAAGATGTAAAATTAAAAAATAAAATTTGGGGTCTATAACATTCAGTCATATGCATTCTTCAAATTTGTACTGCCAGGCTCGCATCCCTTTTCCAACAAATGATTTCTCTCTTCTCTGATGGATGATTTCCCAAGGTTAACAGCGTGCATGTATACAACTGTCCCATAGCGACCACTAATGAACGCCAGATCTAAGGATACCAATTGAAAGACAAAACAGACTCAGTGGAAACTACCTAATTTACAGTGAGACTGGTGCACATTTTTAAGTGAGAGCTGTCCCCTTGATTTGCTGGTAACTGATTGCAAACAGCTTGTCGTTGTTGTTGTTGTTGTTGTGTGTTCAAAGAAAAGGTATTCACAGTGTGCAAGAATTCTCTCCAAGGTGAGATGCTCTCAAGGCTGTTATACAGCCTTTTGTTCACTGACAGTACATATTGACCAAAACATCTTGGCATTGTTTGTCTTTCAGAGAAATAAAATGGAGCTTCATTTACTGTGTGTGTTTCCTCAGTATTTATTCCTGCCTTGATTGGTGGCCCACAGATGGGGGCCCTACCTAGGTGTGTGTGTGTGTGTGTGTGTGTATTTGTATTTGTATGTGATCTTTCTTACTCATGCACTTTTCCCACTGTCATGGGAAATCACAGTGTGGGTATCTACATTCATCAGCTGGAGGCCATCTCATTGCATCATTACCCAAAAGCTGAACAGTAGACAGCCAAAGTCAAATTCCAGGGCAGGTGCAGCAGTTCCATTTTCAGGTATTCGTGAGAAAAACAATAGCTGGCAGCTTTTATTGTGGGAATCGGTTAATTGGGCACGACATAACAAAACCAAACGAATTCTTCAAATTCGTTACAGATAAAAATATCACAAAACTCAGTTGTGTTGAATGTTGGTACCAAAAGTCTTTGTTGACCTTGGATTAAAGTTCCAAGAGACTGAAAGTACATATCAGTCACTTTCCATAATGACTCCCAGTTCATCATTTATCTGAGCAAATGCATCAATGACAGACAGATGACAAGAAAAATGTTTGCAGGGTTCAAATTAGAATGAGTTCATTAGGCATGTGTAGCATGGACAAAACCTGTAGAAAATATCTTTATACACCTTAGGAATATACTTCTTACTACCAGGAATGGAAAGTATTGTAACTAAGTACTAAGTATTCTTCTTATGTAACATTCCATGCTACTTTATACTTATACTCTACTGCATCTCAGAGGAAAATATTGTGGCTTCATGTCATACATAAAAGTATTTAATATGCAATAAGTGGCATTGTTAAAGCTTGCTACCCCTCAAAGAAAAGCAGTGTCTAGTGGGGCCCCTTGTCAGAGGTTGCAGATGTCTGTGGGTTGCTCATAGTCCCACCAAAGAAACATTTCCCCTCTAAAGCTGGTAATACTTATGTACTTCTACTTAATTAGATTTTAAATTAATTTACTGAGTTCTTTTTACCCCACTGTCTACTATGGAGTATTTTTATAGTAACTTTTCCATAAGGAAAATATTACTGTAAAGCACAAATAGATAATCTTTGTGCGTTCCCCCACTGACAGGTGCACTATGCTGATCTCATTTTGGGCCCTGGGATGACGGCAGTGAACCCCATTAAACCCTACACAAACAGAAACACATACCCACTGAAGGCAATAACTCCTTGTGGTTTGAGGAGAAAATATTGCTCTCCCTCTTGAGTTCCTGTGTTAATTGGTCGTTAGAGCACAGAATTTCTTAATCCCAGAGTAAATGATTCATTACCTCACAGATGAGAGGCTAAAAATGTTGCACTGGGCCATGAAAAAGACACCCAAATGACAACCTTGGAAGTAAAAATCTGTTTATCTGGCTCCCTGCAGAGGAAGTTGAGTTTTATCCATGCTGGGCAGCTAAATCATATTTCCTGCATCATTAGAGGTTATTTAGCCTTTTTTAATCATTGTGTATTGTCTGTTGTTAGTTTACCTCTGATTGAACATTACTTTGTATAGGTTAACTTTCTTATTTTTATTTTTTTGTCATAGTTGTGGATTGAATGAAAACACTGCAGTGTATTGTTGGTGTTGGTGTATTGTGGTGGTAATGTAATCTCTTACGTGTCTGTGGCTCATGTGGCCAGTTTCACCTTACGCTTTCTTGCCTGTTACCATATGGCCTCTAGTCCACTGACTCCGCATAAAAGACAACAGTGGTTGCCAGCTTTGCTTAACATGCCTACATGTTGTAAGGTCATGATCGTCTTTACTGCTGTTTATCTACAGTACAGTATCATTCATTTCATACAATGTTAGCGTAGACCTCACATACTTTTATTTGGCTTTTAAGGCATGTCTTGTTTTAAAGAAAGAACAAAGTATGCCATGTATTTACACATATAAAATACAGAATACATACTATAATATTAAAAAAGGATATTCAGGCCACCATCTCATTTGCTACATCTAGTGGGCATTACACAACATTACAGACACTACATGGTGAACTGCTGAATACTTGCATAGATAACTCAAAATATTATATACATCCATCCATCGGTGTGTTAGGCATACTAAATTTTGAGTTGCAGAGATGCAATGGTCTGATCAAACACAATCAAGTTGTGGATGCAACATTAAACAAATGTGTCTCGCCGAGAGGAGCGACACATTTGTAAGGGGCCTATCTTTTTAGCTGTCCAGTGCATTCAAGCCAAACTCAGAGAGCAGTTCCTTGTAGTTTTGATGAAGGGTTGTGTTCTTGTCCGCCCGCCCCTGTCGAGTCACAGACAGCTGGGAAGTTAGGCTGTCTAGAGTCTCCTGTGGGAAAATATCAGTGAAAATGAGATGCAAGCCAAAATTTTCCCTTTAAATCACCCAGTTATCCAATCTGATACCCCCCCCCCAACCACCTTTAACTCTGATGAGTGAGCTGATGGAGAAGAGGCATAATTACATTCCGTGTCATACTAGGAGCAAGATAAATAATGATAATTACATATCAAAACCGTAGTTCTGTAATCACAGGCTGATCCCTCTAACAGGGCTCCAGGCTTGACCACTTGTCTTTGAAGATCTTTGCACTGAAAATGCTCATGTGCTGTCTCTGCTCAGCCAATTAAAGCGTACCTATAAAAAGCCAATACTGACCCCTTTCCTCATCCATTATATCTTTATAGAAATTTGCTATTTTACAACCTGAATCTTATTGTCCTTGTTTGAATTAATATACTGGACCTATAGGTTAGCATAACATTGTTCATCATGATAGTGTATAGTGTAAACCTGAGCACTTAACACTCGCCGCTTGAAACTGCTCTACAACGGAGTCCAGTAGGACCAAAGAAATATGATCCTTAAACCAACAACAAAAGACCTTCCTGTGCTTCATTTTGTGCCTAGTTGTGCTGGCCAGATAACTTCTGACATCACACTGTGAACAAAACAGAGGCGTGCATCCAGGTCAACCTGCAGATTGACGTTCTGCGGCTCTGTAACGTCGGGGAGCCCTTCCAAAATATTGGTGCGCTAACTTTTAATGTTCCCCTTTGCTCAGGTGTCCAAATACTTGCTTTTGACAGCTGAGTGAAGGGTGGACTATTTGTAACCTGTCTGAGGTTTTTGTAAAGCTGTTCCCAGCAGAGTGTTGTCTGTTATCTCTACAGTGGTGGTGGTGGTGAGTATGATGTTATGCTAACTTATAGGTTTGGTGGACAAAACTTTAACACTAGGGTTTAAAAAATAAATGACTGCTTTAAGTGAGTAGTGGAGCAGCAGGAAAGCTGATTACAGCGCTGCACCTGTTTTCACTATGCCATTTATAATATGTAGTTATCGTTCTGTTTGACATAGGCTTTGCCTTCTAATGGATCTGAAGAGCAAAACCTGATGACCCCTTGCTGTACTCTTATAGCCCTTTTATGTAGGATTGTAGGTAGTCACATTGGTGACTGAATAAAGACATAGGCTGCAAGAGTTCTCATTAGGACTGTCCCTTTATTCTATAAACAAGAGTTTTGCCATCAGAAATATGAACGCTGGTCATCGTATAACAAATCTAAACACAGTGGCCTTAACTTGTGTAACTGGTCTCAGACTGGTCCGCCATTTTAGACCAAGTCATCTGCTCAGTGTCGTGTAATCGAGCAGACGCAACTAAGTCAAAAGCCTGACTGTCACTAAAGAGAAACCACACCCCACCTGACCTGTCATTCAGAGTGTGGTGCGTGGCCTAGCTGACACATAGTTGGCATCAGCACAGTGCTCTGTGAGTCCCAAGCACCCTCATGTCACCACGCTCTCAGACACAGGGGGTCTCCTGTTGGCTTACTATTATTGGCTGGTTTCATAGCCTCACAGTAAAAGACAGAAACAGCCGGAACAGCATTGTTAAAATCTGTTCACCGTGGTTGCAAATTCTTTTTGCAACCAACACATCCTCCAGAATCATTGTTTGTGAATGTTTTGTTTGATCGTTTTATTGTAGTTATCAATACTCTTTATCAACCTCTTTATATTCCACATTTAGCTCTCTTCTATCATTTATTTCTTTTTTTGTATGTTAATGTGATTTTTTGTTCATGGGTACATTTTGTGCATGGGGCTTAAAAGATGTATGGTCAAAGTTGTTCGTGGCTGCCTCTTCAGACCATTTTGCACTACTAGCTTTAATTTGAATTGGCTTGTGTTGCAACTCACGTGCAGAATCTTCTCATAGTCTGTTTCCATTTTGTCCAGCTTGTGTTGGAGGTCAGCTATGGCGGCGCCCTTCTCCTGTTCCACCTGCTCGCGCTCTCTTTTCTCTTTTCTTAGTTCCTCCTGACAAAGAGCTAGACAAACAAATGCATACTGGCATGCCTTCACTTTTAATTTGGGAACTGACTGGCACTCCTATGTCTTTATTCATTTGAATATAGATGTTAAAATTAAATGTATCCATACCAAGTTCTTCTGTCAGCTGGCGGACCTCCTTCTCCAGCCCCTTTACCTTGTTGGCCACTTCTTGCTGCATGGTTTTATACTGGCGACTGAGGTCTAGAATGACATTTGTGTCAACGATGTCAGACTTCACTGCTTCACTTTGTAAGGCTTATGCAGAAATCAGCTTAGGCACACAGCTAATTAGACTTTTTGTTCCTCAAAAATTACCCTAACCTTGGCAAACACGCCCCCTGTCCTCACTCCCAAAGGGATCCATGCTTTATCTCAGGTTATTAAAAGGGAGCCTAATTGTCAATTCATGCCTCGCCTGTACCATACCAGAGTTGACATCCCTGTGGTCTTGTCTCTCGTGCTGCAGCTTCTGCTCCATGTCTCTCATGCATCTCCTCAGGTCAGATCTATCGGACTGGACCTTTATTACAGACTCACACTGTGAAGCTGTTGTAATCACACAAACACGTGCATGCATGAATGTACACACCAGTTGTGGAATAGTTTTTTTCTTAAGCAGAGGTGACAATAACCATCCAATTACAGTTCTGTTGTCAATATTTTAATATGGTAAACTAAAGCCTTATAAGTAAAACATGCTCAAGTATCCAATCCAATCTATCTTTCACTGGTGGGTGAAGAATTCAGATCCTTCACTTCAAGTAGTGCAACTACCAACAATACATTCCAAGTAAAAGTCCTGCAATCAAAATCTTACTCAAACACAGTAAATGTATTATTAGCTAAATATACGCAAGTAAAAGTTCTGATGCAGAAACATTGCAGCTTTGACTGAACTACATTACTGGATATCACTGTATCAATACATGTGTGAGTAGCATTTTACTGCTGTGGTTGGGCAAGGTGGTGCTGATTTTAACATTTTAATAGTATAATTTAAACTGATCATACAGTATGTTTTCTATATAAAGTCCTAATTAGCAAAGTAACTATAGCTGCCAAAACGCACAATATTTCCATCTAAAAAGTGGAAAGTATAGTATAAAATAGATGCACAGCACTTGAATAACTGCATTTAGTTAACTGCACTTACCACCACTGCTAGTTACGAATACTTCAAACAGTAACACCATAAGATGAATTTAGATTACAAAAGGACATATTCTCCCCTTTGAAATGTGCTCTGTGTATTTTGTGTACTGAGTAAATGTACATATATTTCTCTTGGTAAAATTAGTGTGAAGGCATATTGAGAGTTTCACAGCACATATGGACTGATAGTAAAAAGATATGGAACATGGTAATATTATGGCGATTACTCAGTTAATTAACTAGTCGTACAAGAGTGAATTAACTACCAACTATCAGTATGATAACTGAGCAATTGTATATGTCGTATATCAAGTAAAATGGCCAAAGTCTTGGTTTTATATTATTTTAAATTCAAAATACAAAAGTCTGTCATTTTCTGACATTTAATAGATTAAATGATTGATAAATTATTTTTAAAAAAAGATCAAATAATGAATCAATAATAAAATAATCATTAGCGGCAGCCCTATGGTACATCAGACATTAGCAGAACAGCGTAAGACATAATAGAGTGTAGATTTGTGCTCTTAAAACTTTAATAGGAGTGTAATTTATCAGTTTGCCCCTGGATGTATAATGTATGTATGGTGTATAATGACTAAAACATTATATAGTTGGGCTAATCATAGCCCACATTACATAATGTTAAAGCAACTAAACTTAAAATTTCTGCTCACCAATGTGATCCTGTAGGATGGCTATATCCAGAATACTGCGCTTATACTTCACTTCTAAGTCATTTTCACCTGCAACAAGACAAGAATATTTCTAGAAAATGCAGGATTAGGCATCACAAAAGCAAAAAAATAAATAAAAAATAGAATAATCTCATAAGCAAAGTTACTTTTTTCTGGTTTCTTCTTTGAGGTCTTTTTTGTTTTTTTCTTTGGAGTCATGTTTGCTTGCTGTGAAGCTGCCTGTTCAGACCTACACACTCACAGGACTCTCTCACTACATACAGGGGGTGAGCCTTTGTTGCATGGTACTGGTTGCTGTGTGAGTTGCCTTGGCCACTGACGGTCCAACTTGATTGATAGTTGATTGACTTTAACAACAGCCAATCACAACTTGACTGGGGCACCCCTGCCCATATCCACAGACTATGTAATTGGATCCTTACTTTTATTGAGACATGTCAAAGCGTCCTTTGTGGTCAGGGTGACCAAGGCCAGCGCTGCGAGAATTCAAGGCTGCATTCAGCATCCCTTCACCGTTGTATGAATGCTGTACAGACAGAGGCGCGCACCCGACTACATTCATAGTTCGTGAACGCGCACATGGAAGGCGTGGAGTTTGGGGGGGTGAACGGAAGGGGACGTACAGGAAAGGGCTGCGCATATACGTCACAGCGGGTTGGAGAGGACAAGAAAAATACTGGGCTATGTTAATTCCTACAATATTTATTCACCCATGGTCCTCCTGTGTATGCCCATGAAGCTTTCGCAGTTTTAAGTGCAACTTCCTCTCGACAGTCAGCGGTGTCGTGTGCGCCTCACAGCCCGCAGAGGAGTTCTGACACTGTCACACAGACACTGAACTTCCCGTCAAGACACAGCACTGGCGAAAAGAGCTGCTGCTGCTGCTGACAAAAAAAAGGGAAACGACATCGGGTGGTGTCAAGAGGAGAGAGGACACACTCCAGTCCACAAGGCTCCTGGGCAGAGAAACGGTGCCATTGTCCTCCAGCTGAGGGCGAACAGAGAGGCAGGTCTGGTGCTCTGTTAATTAGCCTGCGTGGGTCCCTGCAGAGAGAGACAAGAGAGCAGCGCAGCTAGCTGCAGCACAGAGAGGCTTGCACGGGGTGTGAGTGACTGAGGGGCTAGTTTTATCCACAATAGGGACATTTATCTGACAAACTGATGTTAGGTTTACTGATGGGTGCGTTTATCCGATAGTCACCCCTCTACCCCCCATTCGGACCCTGGCTCGGATTCGCCACTCGGGCGCTGTCCTCGCCGGGGGGTGCCGGATCACCATCTCCCGGTCCAGCTAACTGAAGTCAGCGGTTCGGTCCCCCTGACCCCTGTCCTGCCCTGTCTGTCTGCCGCTCTGGCCATCCCTAGCAGAGCCCGAACATGGCAGGGAACCTGAAGAAAGGCGGGGGGCTCATCGGAATGATGAAGGATGCCTTCCAGCCACACCACCACCACCTCCACTCCCATCACCAGCCCGGGGCCGTGGACAAAAAGACAGTGGAGAAATGCTGGAAACTGATGGACAAGGTTTGTGAGTGAATGGTCAACGTTAACTAGCCGTTAACGTTAGCTAACGCGTTGAATTCTCAGGGCGACTGCCAGCTAACCGCAGCTAACTAGCGATAAAGCTAGCTAATCTTCACCTCCTGTTGGTCTTATGTTAGCTAGTTCGCTGGGAGAAGACATGGTTAACGTTAGCTAACATGAGCTAATTTGCTAACTTCAACAGTATTGTTTTGTACCGTGTGTGCCAGGCTCCCTCGCAACACTTTAAATCACATACTTTTAAAGCACTGTAACATTAACGTTAGCCAACGGACAGAGCAAGGGTTTCTTGAACACATCAGTTTGTTAATGTTGTGCCACTTTGACTAGTTGTCAGTCCGTGGTGTATCTAGCTTGTTTGACCCCGTTTATGTAACGTTACTACGATGTATCGTAAACATTAGCATTAAAAGAAGGTAGAGTGGGCGTATAGAGAATGCTATGCAGGAATTGAATGTAGCCATGTTATGGCAGTTTACTGAAATTACAGGGACTGCTAGCACTCTTAACAGAGTCTCCTGCACACTGTTGCTGACATCTCTTCAGTCAACGGACTGTCATCCTTTGGAAACTGTAACAAAGCATTTAACTAGGCCAATTATGCTCTTTCACAGGGGAGACTCATTTCACAGCTTTACTTCTCGGAAACATCTGTAGCAGTTTGACCCCCAGTTTCCTGTGAGATTCGCACAGCAATATCGGATTGAATAGGAAGACAAGACACACTATTGTGTCTCCTCTTCCTCTTTGAGGCCTTAGTTTAGAGCTCTGATGATATGAGACCATGTCCTCTTTACAAAGCTATTATCAAGAAACCACATTCCAGATTATTTGGCTCCATTAGTATATGTGGTAGATTGTGTGCAGCATTTTTAACTTTCTAACTTAATTTTTTCCTTCTGTGAATATTAAGCGCTCTTCCAGAAGCTGTTTTTGTCTTTCTGATTATTAAGTGCAACCCAGACAAGATGACTGTGCAGCTGATGTTAAACCACTTAAACCAGTCACTTTTTCAGTTTACAGTATGAGAATATTTTACCTTTTCTGACCCACTAAAACAGTTGAGGGGCAGCACCAGCAAGTTGGGAGAAAAAAAAGAGCGTCTTACCTTTGAAAAGACCAAAAGTATTTTTACTCCACCAGGTTGTTTAAAATAGCTGCAGAAATTTTGTTCAGCACTGTGTAAAGGAAAACCACAGCCCAACATATACTGTGGACCATCACTTGCCGAATAATAATGCAGTTTCACTTTGAAAACACCTTCTGTGAAGGACGAAGTTAAATTTTATCAAAAGGATGAGACTAATTTCTCCCTTCAGAGTTGCCTACATTAGCTGTTCTTAATGCATTTAGCACCTTAATGAACAAATCCTTGCATTTAAGCTTTTCAGTCAAAAATGTCATTTGTGATGACCTGACCAAAGAATGTGTTCTTATTTCAATTCACTGCATCAAGTTTAAACTTCTTAAAATGAAAATGTAACCATTTTGTTTAACCATTAGGTGTTGCCTTACTGTTTCCGCTGTTCCATTGCTACATGCTTCAGGGTAATTAGCTATTCATTAATCCAAACCTGAAGTTGTAGACTGTTGAAAATCATCCAATCCAACAGCCATTAGGAAATATTGGCAATGATTAGTTTGCTTATTTAACCAGACACTTTAGCTGTTAACCACCAGTGAATACTGAACAATATTTTGCGCGTTATCTTATCCAACATTTTATTGTATTGTTTATAAAATTGCTGTAATCCATTGAGTTAGGCTTGTGCGAGCGTAGATGTCAAATACAACGTCAGTGTTACTTTCAAAGTGGTCTCATGCTGTTTTTGGAGTATAAATACATAATTCAGTTGCACAACATAGTTTGTCATCAGACTTTCTTGTAGAAACATTATCCATATTGTGAAATTGAAAACTTTCTGGGAATTGACAAATAGTCTTTTTGCTTGGATTTTCTAGACCGAGATCTCTGAGCTCTGCAGACAAAAAAGGAAGCCCAAATTGCTTGTGTACAGCTAATGTCTAACGGCCAACTCTCCTTCAAACAGGTGGAACTTGATGTACAAAAACTGTCAGGTATAGAATCAGCAAGGAGAGACTGATGCAGAGGGAAACAGTGGGCAGGAATGCAGTTTAGCTTGATGGGAGTCAACATTTTACTTACAGTAGCATTGATTGATGTTGACGTCAGCCAGTTGTGGTGGCCTTGTACGTGCATTGAGGCACGTGTGTTTGGCTGAGTTATGGGTATGTGTATTAGCCTGGTAGATGATAACGTTAGTGGCGTAACCTTGGCAACAAGTCTTATCTGGTCTCAGACATTATCAGTAGACCTTCTGCATTTGGGTTAAAGGAATGAGTGAGCAGTGTTGGTTTTGATACCGAAGGCATATTACCTGTCAGTTCTTTGCTGATGTAGTCAAATGAAAAATTGTCTCTCACCCAGATATCAACTACAAGCAAATTATCCAAAATACACAGATGATACAAAAACAGTAGAAGCACAGTCCTTATAGTGTGCTACATACCATTCAGTAGAAGTTGGTTGAAGAGAAAATGTTAGTTGCATGTCCTAGTGTTTAAAACATCCATATTAGATCTTGTAATATCCAACCCAGCAGTGCTTTATGCACCTCAATATCCCATTGAAAACCACTATGCTATTTTAATGTTTAACTCCAAATACATATTTTAAAGTATTATATATGGACCTGAGGTCAGTGTACTGAAATATTTCACATGTGGCTTTACGCTCCATATCAGTAGGAAACTGATCTTTTTTAAAATTCAGACACACCAGTGAAGGCCCACATGCTAAAAACATTTTGCATGTTGTGAAATCAGTACTGCTTAAAATATCCTACTGGTCAAGTGTGACCCCATTCTTTTTGAGAGGCATCCGATACAGCGACGATGAGCCGACCGGTCTGAGCGCAGTGGCCCATTTACAAACTGAGATCGAATATTCTGAAAATGGTATATACTCAGTATATGAGGCATGATACAATTTAACTTTATTAGATGTTCCTTGAAGTCAGATCCCTCAGGTGCGTAGGGAATGATAATAATGACGAATAATTAAATATTAATCTGTGGATGGTGAAAGGGGACCTGATAAACTGTATCAAAAATAATTGATATTGTTTGATTTTTTTTTTTTATACTGAAAACATATATGTAGTGGATCAATATTTAGATATGTGTACATTTAAACCTGTTTTTGATAAAATTCAGATGCGGAAAATGAACTATCATGTTATACCTAAGGATTAAGCAAATAGCTTTGTTTCTGTCAGAGGGGTTTTGGTGTAGAAACAAAATAAATGTCACCATGGCACAGATTCATATGTTTGCAGAATATTTATTCATGAATTTAAAAGTCAGTTTCTATACAACTGATGGTCGTTGATAAATCTACATGGCTTCAGAGCTACAACAGTTAGAAGTTGATTATAATATGTCCTTCCGAGTCTTATTTTCCCATAATGACAAACCGATGGCTCCCAAAAAGAAGAGGCAAGGAAATTCAAACCGACATTCTTGTAATACTACTCGTGTTTCTTTCTAACACTCATGATTAGTAGACAATAATTTGGCCGGGTCTAGAAAAGAATGAGCCATGTCCTGTTGTACATGCAATTGTTGGGTCACGGTTGAAGCTGACAGCCCAGCTCTATGTCAGCTCAGGTTCAAATCAGGATGTGAGATCCTCCATTTTTTTAATGGAAGTGTAGTTTTGTGCTTCCACAACCACACACACAAAGTTAGACTTCAGTGCAGTGGTAAATATGACTCCAACCAGGTCCATGTACAGATATTAATGTCTGTGTGAATGTTGCCTGTCCGCCAATGTCTTTTGTAATGGTCAGCGAAGTGACTCAGACACTGTGCAGCCGCATTATGGTGAGATGGGTGAGGAAAGGTTGAACATTAATGAGGATGTAACTTGTTTTCATACAGTCTAGGGAACATTTTTGCCTGGAGCACGTAGTTGATTTCTCTAAATTTCCTTGTTTTATAAAGCAATCTAATAGAAAATTATCTCCCTGCTCACCCATTGCAGAATTCCCCCTCTGTTTTGTCAATGATTGACGTTAGTCAGGCTGTTCAAATAGAAGCTTCTGTCAGTAAAAACAGGCTTTTGTGTTTTTTAGTTTGTTTCTTTTCTTTTCTTTCTTTTGTACTTACAAAGTTTATTTTGTGATGTGTCACTGTAGTTGAAGTTTACGTCCACGTTGTCAGTGCTTCAGCCGTTCAAATTTGCAGGAAACC